GTGATTGAAGAGTTGTAATATGGTGCTACGAATGGCGAGAATCACTGATGATGCCGGCGAAACGTCTGGGAATGTCCCACGTCCACGGTCCTACTTTGGAAATGATGATGCATAAAATGGACTCCGGACAAAGTGCGTTCTTCTAAGTCTTCCTACCAATATGAGCAAGTTGCGAAAACAAGGTCAAACAACTTCTAAGAAGATGATTTTTTACAAAATAATTCTTTAAATTTTCCTTTATTACTTTTTTAAATGCTTAAATATTTATTTTGCTTACAATTGAATGAGCGTTGTTTTTGCAATTTCATCCGAAATATTATGTTAGGAATTCTTTGAATTGTACCTAATAGCTCTTATGATAATTTCAAACTGAGATCCAAGCGTATCGCACAGGAAGGCTCATGTGACCACACCTACAATCTTTTATAGTTTTAGTACTTTGGCCTGACATGGGGCCTTATGTAGAGTATTTAATTGTTGCTTTGAGCGCATGCGAAGTTTATAGCATGGCTGAATCTATCCTGAGCCATAAAACAAATGAAGAGGAAAATTATGCTAAGGCCTCGAAAGACCCATATCTATTCGTGGCATGAAAATGTTTTTCTCTGTCTTATTACGTGCAAATCGACGATCACAATTAAATGACAAATTTCCTTCTTTCTCTAATAAAGCAACATCGATTTATTCATCCAATTACATACAACTTTAGACTGAACTTCACCATGATTTGCCCTCTTCAGATTGAACTATTTCTAGTCCATACCAATTCATCGTCCAAAATAGTTTAATATCTTCATATTTAATCTTTCATTCTCATTTTCATTTGATTAAATCCTGTTAAAATTTCTCTTACCTTGATTACGACACTCTTATTCGAATAATTTATCAGCTTTTGTAGCCTTTGCAAGTTAACTTAAAATTTTTATTAGATCAAAACATTGTTTATTTTAAGGTATGCATTTTTACTCATAAAGTATGTTTAGAGATATAAAAAACTTTTTTATTTGCATCCTTTAGTTAAACTCGGGTTTATATACTATGTAAATTTTGAATTCCTTTTATCGCACATGTTCATTTATAAGGATATAGTTGACTTCAAAATTGAAGACATTGCTTAGGTTAGCAAGCAATAATCTTTGGTGGGTAATTCTTAAATTAGACTTACCAGGGGTACTTTATGAAACAATAATCCTTTTCCTTGATACTAGTTGGATGCATATCGGAAGAAGTTTGAATAAAATCCTCAATCCTTAATAATTAGGCACTGTAGTATATTTTTGATTTTGGTAAATAAGTATGTATATATATATATATATTTCACTTTCAAAATCAATCTCGGCTTAGTTTTTATTAGCATTTGCTCGTATACATAAAGTAGGGCTGACCTTCTCCATATACTTTATTTCATTCTATTTTAGAAGGTATATTAATATTCCTCCGAATAACTGTTTTTTGAGAAAATCTGATGTCCATTTTCTTTTTGCTACTCTAAGCTTTGCTATTACCCGATCTTATTGATTCTATCTACTTATGGGGTTGTTGGCAGAACATAACTAGGATCGCTAGACAGAAATTAGTACCAGGATAACCATATTTCATACCATACTTCTTTTTCGCTATTATTTTGTTTTTTTAAACAATAAAAAATGCGAAAAGTTGTTTGGCATTGTTTTCGCAACTTGGTCATATTGGTAGGAAGACTTAGAGGAACGCATTTAGTCCGGAGTCCATTTTATGCATCATCATTTCTAGAGTAGGACCGTGGACGTGGTACATTCTTAGACGTTTCGCCAGCATCGTCAATGAGTATTACCATTCTTAGCAACATAAAACAACTCTTCAAAGAGACAAGTAAGCCTATCTTTTGACCAAACGTGTGCTAAACGGTTGTGGTATCTCACCTTCTGCCCTGGGCTATTCAAATTTTCTATATCCTTCTATCAAACACTGTCACTTACAATTATTTTTATCTTAATTAAATATAGTGTGATGTGACCTTTTGAGTGTCTTTCATGAGAACCCCCCGCACTTTACCCTGACGTTCTCACCCCCGTTCACCTTTGTGCTGGGAATGTTGATCAGAGTCTGTAATATTGTTACGCAGTCCTTCCCTAGGTCTTATCACAGTCTCCCTCTTGCCCCGTAAGATCCGTGTGTCCCCTCCCTGGTTCACATATTTCAATCAACCTCTGTCACCCCATCTGTGCCACTCGAGGCGTTATTCGCCCTCTTCTGGGTCTTGGTGACTAATTCGAGGCTAAAGACTCTGAGTAGGTCTCATGGTCACGCCTTTACCACATGGACCATGTCTCTTATAAAACCTAATGTCAGCCAACTAGCTCCAATCGCCTGCGTCTATTCTGTTTCTATCCTTAATACCAAGTCTATGACTTACCGTGCCCTAGTCTCTTGTGTGTCAACACAAATGTTGTAGTATTGCCTGCTTTGATTAGGTTCAATGTTGAACCACAACGTTTGTGGTTTGCCATACAAGAGACTAGGGCAATGGACGTCATAGGCTTGGTATTATAGATAGAAAACGAATAGAAGCAATGAAAACTAGAGCTAGTTGGCTAACAATAGTCGTGATTCAGGGATCACGTCTGATCAAACACGTCTATTGTTAGCCAAATAGCTTTAGTCTCCACCGCGCCTTTTCTATTTATATCTGTAATACCATGTATATCACTCCCTTCCTTGGTGTGCTCCTTTGAGCACACCACACTACATCTAAACAGGTACGGTAAAAATATTGTGACAGTGAAGGCGTGATAGGAGGATATAGGAAATGTGAATAGCCCAGAACAGAAGGGTAGATAGCACAACTGTTTAGCACACGTTTGGTAAAAGGATAGGCTTACTTGTCTCTGTACGGTGCTAAGAATGGCGATACTCACTGACGATGCCGGCGAAACGTCTGGGAATGTGCCATGTCCATGGTCCTATTCTAGCAATGATGATGCATTTAATAGACTCCGGACTTGGTGCGTTTCTCTAATTTTCCTACCAATATGACTAAGTTGCGAAAGCAAGGTCAAACAACCTCTATACAACGAATGGAGACTGCGACCACACAAAAGGACACACCATCTTGGTCTTCTTACCTTCGAATAAAAATGCGAACCATATTTGATGCTGCTTAATAGAAGCTTTGAAATAAATTTTTAATTTTTCTTTTTTTATCAATTACCTTCTAAGAGGTATAAAGGCTTACCTGAATTGCCAGGTGCAAGTTAGACATAAATGCTGGGAGTGTTGATCTGAGTCTGCTCTATTAGTTCGCAATCCTCTTCCCAGAAGTCCGATCAGATTCTGTTGCCCTCTAGGATTCGTCTCCTTTTTCACTCTACCCCTGCTATGCTACTCGAGGTGTTATTTTCCACACTGCCCCAAGCCTTTGATGACACTACTACTGCCTCACCGAGTAGGCCTACAAAATCTGCATTCTCTAGCAGAATGGGAGACTAACTTGAGGCTCAAGATCCTGATTTATTCTCATCATCAAGCTCTTGTTTCATGATCAAATCTGTCTATTATTTGCCAACTATCTTTTGTCCCCGTCGCATCTATCGTGATTTTATCTATAATGCCAACTTTATAATTTCCTAAGCCCTAGTCTCTTGTGTATCAACTCACAAATATTGGGGTTCTACTTCTTTTGCTTAGGCATATTTTAGCTCAGTCCAGGTCTGTCCCATTTACATTCCCCATTGGTTCTCTGATCCCCTACCACGACCATAATAAAGGTCACCCTATCTTGGGCATATCACCTTCCATCGGATAACTTTCAGCTTAAGACTTTTAAAAGGGCTCCTATTCTAATGATAAAATTTGTTATTTTTATTTACAATTGTCCTCCACCTTAGTTCATCGAGCTCCCCTGATAATTCTTCTTACGTTTTCTCATGTTTCTTTTGTGGCTTTTTCAGAAGCGCTAAAACAGAGTACCTCATCCAAAAGGAATGACGATTATGCGGATTACTGCATTCCATTAGAGGCCAGAGATCCCGTAATTCCACTTTCGTTATCCACTTTGCCACCATCTGACTCGTCTGGGTATTTTGACCATCCTATCAGTGATGTTGATTATGCCAATTTGACACCAAGACATATTGTTGCAGACATCTTATCAGGTGTTTCTGGAGGTGGCCTTCCCGCTGCCTCACGCTTGGCTGCAGGTGGGGATGCTGAAATGGACGACTATCTAGTACCGATTGAACCGCCTACTGAACCATTGTTACCTCCGACTACGAGCTCCAATAGCGAGGATACTTCTGAAAGAGGTTAGTAAGCTAAATGAGAAGGAAGGAAGCGCATGAGAAGTTCACATAAGTCTTTACATTTCTCATACTTTATTCGGTTTTCAGGGAGGCCAAATTATCAATCTTTATCATCTATCCTTCCATACGAAATGAAAATTTTAACGACTTGCAATTAGGAATAGATTCTCTATATTATTTTTCTATAAGTTTTTATGCTGATATGTGAAATTATATTTGCACTTAGATTATCAATCCATTCTGAAAAATGCAAC